ACCATGAGATAGTTACGAGCTTTCATGTTTGGGTTACAATCACACAATGATCAAACACCCCTCCCTCCACCAGAGCACATTCCCCACCACCAATATCCCTGGTATACCCTGCCCTTCCCCACCCTCCCCCTGCCTCCACAGCAGACATGATTTCCCATAGTCTCTCTCTACTTTTGGGCATTATGGTTTATAATACAGACCCTGAGAGGTTATCATGTTTGGTCCTTTATCTACTTTATGCACACATCTCCCATCCCGACCAATTCCTCCAGCCATCATTTTCTTAGTGATCCCTTCTCTATTCCATCTGCCTTCTCCCCTTAAGCAAATCATTTTCATGCCATCTATGCTATAAGATAATCATTTGAAGTCAATGAGCTTTGCATTCAAACTGAGGTGGATTCTATGAAGAAGGATGCCATAAGGTAAGGGTGAGCAAGAGTAAGAAATCCTCCAGCTATAACCCAGTCCCCAGGGGCTGCACATAGCAAAATCTGGCATGGCTCACTTTCTCTCTCATGAGGTAAACTAGCAATATCTTGGTTTATGTCATGCTTGGGGATGTTTCCTCCAAGCTATTTTATTCTCTATGGCCCTAAGCCCTGTGCTTACAAGGGCATGCTTGTACAGTGACTGGTTGATACAAGTGAGCACTAAGAGGTGCTGGAAGTACACTCATTAGGCCACTTTATGATGCCAAGTCTACCTTTCAGTAGAGGCATCACTCCACAAGGATACTGAAGATCAGTCACAGAAGGTCTGGGGCTTGGAACTGACTCACAACATTTTTAAAGATCCAAAAATCAATAAACGAGTCGCTTTTCAAAAACAAGTCTCAGTGGTGGGGAAACAGGAAAGAAAGGAGGAGGAAGAGGTATGGGAGAATACTTCTAAATATGACTTTCTTTAGATTGTAGATACATTGATTTTAATAATCAATGAGACAGATGCTCATCATGAATGAGGGAGACCAGTAAACACAAACGGTCTAGCTATGAGCAGCCTAAGATGACCTCACATGAGCAGAGTCCAAATACCCAGCAGTTCTCAGGGCTTAGTCTTGGCTCTGTGCCCAGGGATCACTCCTGGCAAGGCTTGGGGGACCATATGCAGTTCCTGGGATTGAAACTGAGGTTGGCTATGTTAAAGGCAAGACCCTCTCTCTCCAGCCTTCCAAGTTCATTTTTAAGACCTTAAAACTCAAAATTTGTGTTATGAAGGATGTTGGAAAGGCCCATTTCAGATTCAAAACTACACATTCTTGAATAACATGCTCTGAATCAGGTTCACCTAATTAATATCCAGAAGTATGTTCTACAATCATATGTTGTCACTGTAACCATCCTCCCGTTGTTCATCAATTTGCTCGAGCGGGCCCAGTAACATTATGAGACTTGTTACTGTGTTTGGCATATCGAATACATCATGGGTATGCACAGGCTTTGCTGTGCAGGCAAGATACTCTCGGTAGCTTGCCGGGCACTCTGAGAGAGCGGAGGAATCGAACTCGGGTCGGCCATGTTGGCTGCATGAAAGGCAAATGCCCTACCTTCTGTGCTATTGCTCCAGCCCACAATCATATGTTACAAATAATAATTAAGGGTTCCATCAATTTTTAAAGGAAAACAGAAAAGAGAAGAGGATGCTTTTGAAGATGCAGGACAATGATGAGTGGGTCCACTCGGCATGCCACTGGTTCTTCTGAGCTGCCTGCCCAGCATGGGCCTCCCCTCAGGCCTGCTGAGAACTTGGGCCCTCAGGTGGGAATGGAACTTCAGATCCCAGGGATTTGGGCCCAGCGGTTTGCAGGTTACCTCCAAACAATATGGAATTAAAATTCAAAAAGGAAAATGTTAAGCCCCACTCATAGGTGGGGCTAGACTGATGGTACAGCAGGTACTTGCCTCGCATACAGCTGACCTGGATTCAATTCCTGGCATCCCATATAGTCCTCTCAGCTAGGAGTGATTCCTGAGGGCACAGCCAGGAATAACCCTAGAATGCCAGGTGTGACCCCAAAACAAAACAAATCAACAACAACCTCCTCCCCCATGCCCCGCCCATCAAAGGCTCATGGGTTAAAAGAGTTTTGGTGGGGCTAGAGCAATAGCACAGCAGGTAGGGTGTTTGCCTTGCACGCGGCTGACCTGGGTTTGACCTGGGTTTGATTCCCAGCATCCCATATGGTCCCCCGAACACCGCCAAGAATAATTGCTGAGTACATGAGCCAGAAATAACCCCTGTGCAGTGCCGGTGTGACCCAAAAAGGGAAAAAAAAGTAGCTTTGAAGACAGAGGATAAAGCTTATGGAGGATACTTGCCTTGCTTGTGTGAAGCCTGAGTTTGATTTCTGATATTGCTAAAATGAACAGATGAAAACAGAAAGCTATGAAAAGTAGCTTCAAGCACCTAAAATATAATCAAAACCTAAAGGCGAATTTGAAGTCCACAAATTCTGATTCTCTTGCTGCTCCCCACAGCCCCAGCACATCAATGCTCGACCGAGTCAGCTATTTGGAACTGGCAGCTGTTTCACACTAGTTGGGAGCCATTTGTGGAGTTCCAGAACAAAGGAGTCATTCTTCTCGGTGCCAGAAAACCATCCAAACAGCTCTAAGAACCAGCTGGAGAATAAAAATATTGTAATTTTTTTTTCAAAATGAAAAAGTAAAGAAAGCTGTGACACAGAAAGGAAATGTGGTAATAGTTGTCAGAGGGGGAGAAATTAAATAAGAAAAATCTTTGGTGCTCTGCTATATGGTAGTCTTATCACTGGCATGTGCTAGATTTAAAAACAAACATAGTTCTAGATGCTTTTCCACATCTGTTGCTGAAGAGGGGAAATCTGGAGGAAAGGAGAAGAGGGGTTTATACTGGATTTGCAAATATGCAGAGAAGACATAAATTGGCCATTTGAAGTGTGCTACTCTCTTTTTAAAGAAAGAAAACAAAGTTAGACTATCTGAGCAGCTATTAAGGAAGGAGGTGCCATGCTCAAAGTACCTGGAAATAATTTGATATAGTTTCCTGAAATACTGTCTTTTCAACACATTTTCAGGAAATTCCCAGACCAAAAAAAAAAAAAAAAGGTTCTATTGTCAAAATACTTCAGTAAAATGGAGATGTGGAGATGTTTTGCAAGGAGAAACCAAACTTGATTCACTTCCTCCCACCTTACCACTTCCTAAACTGACCGAGAACAGAGTAATCGTTTCTCTACTCATCGAAGTACAGACCAAGAACGAGGTGTTCGTTTCGAGAGAGGGGCTAGGCTGGTGGGGGAAGGTGACACATGAGCAAACACCAGAACTTCGAAGGCAGGCAGACAATATGCAAGTCTCAAAACAACCCTTCACTAAAGCCAAACTGAATTTGAAATAGAATAGTTTAGTGTAACTAACACCTAAAGGACTCAGGGATCTAACAGAGGAAAGGGGTATCTGCTTGGGACTTCCCCCTACGGTCCTGCATTTCGACCATGGGCCCTCGCTGTCCAACTCCAATTACCAAGATTAACTCTAGACTTCCACCCTACAATCCTCACAGACTCCAGTACTTTGGGATCCACCATTTTTTTCTTTTTGTGGGGGGAGGGAGTTGTTTGTTTGGGGTCATACCTGGCAGTGCTCGGGGATTACTCCTGGATCATTTGAAGATCACTTCTGGAGAGGCTTGGAGGACCATGTGAGGTGCCAGGGCTTGAACGGAAATTGGCTGAACCCAAAGTGCCTTGCCCACTGTATTTGATCTCTTGGCCCCTACCATGCTGAATCTCTTCAGAGGTAACCAGAGGCTATCACTAAGTCCAGTTAGACTGGAACTAAGCTTCAGTTTAACCAATTCTTAACAATTTGGTCAGAATTTTTTTTTAATGTAGGAGTACTGCTATTTATTCAGCCACTGATTAGCTGATTGAATTGGGCATGAACTCTACCTTGCCTTTTTTTCTTTTCATTTTTTATAATTTTATTTATTGAATCACTGTGAGATCAGTCACAAAGCTTTCAGGTTTAAGTCTCGGTCATACAATGAAACAACCATACCTTCACCAGTGCCCATTCTCTACCCCCCAAAACCCCAGTGTACTCCCATCCCACACTCTCCCCCTACCTGTGGGACAGATGATTTCCACATTACCCTCTCTCCCTACTTTGATTACATTCAATATTTTGACACCAGACCCACCATTATTATTTGGAATTCTACCCCAACACTCAGATCTTCTGAAAAGGCAACAGTAGACAATTTGTTTTCTATTGCTGGTTATGAATAACATATGATGTTGCGTGGCTGCAGTAGTGGCTGCACGATTTTGAAATTCCGAAATTTTAACAATTAAATCTGGAGGGATTTCTGCCAAAACCTGCTGGGTTCCGAGATTTGTTCCTGAGTCTCTTGGATCATGGCCGTTGAACAGCTTATCCAGAATTTTCAGGATAATCTGATTCCATCCCACTAGGACTACCATTATTTTTTTCTAGCTCTTGCCTGCCAGTCACTCTAACTCACACAGAAAGGCAGTTCTTGGAGGAATCTCTGAGCTGCCTCCCGCACTGTCTACATGATGCGGAAGGTGGATTCTGACCTCTAGGCCTTCTCCCACCACCCTGAGGAGCAGCCCTCAGTTCTCACATAGTGTCTTCTCCAGGGAACTGAGGGTGGTCATTATGGCTACAACAACTTTCGTGAGGACAGAAGGATCTCACACCCCTTGGCAGAGATCAGCATGGAAAGGAAGACGAAGAGAGGATGGCACAAATCTGGCTGGTCAGGAAGTGATGCGCTGAAAGTTCCCAGAAAGGAGAGAGGCTTCCTAACACTGATCTGAGGCCTAGATTTAAGAGTCTGTGTTGAAATACACAGTTGCCTATAAAGGCCACCAGGGCTTATGTAAAGGGGGCTTACTTCTTCTTATTTTTGTTCATCATGTCTCTCTAGAACAGAAATTCAAAACAAAAGGCAAGGTCAAATCTCCAAGGCCACAATGTTGAATGACTTACCTCAACTTCCACCCTGGTGAAAGGCTGACAGAAAGTAAGGATGCAAAGTTGAAGGCTGAGGAGAGAAGAAAGAAGGTGGTACTTAGAGAGTATACAAATGCTCCCCCCTCCCCAATTCATTAGCCCCCTCTTCATTCCCTTCTTCACACACAATACCCGCTAGCTCACTTCTGACTATTCTGCATTGTAAACACAGTCGTAACATTTCTGGGCTTAGGCAAAAGTCTACTCACCAAATGCAATATTAAATATATACCTCATAGTGCTCCTGCTTACAAAGAAGTACATGTTCTATTTATGGGACAATGTTTCTGAAAAGTTTCAAATTTCAAAATGATTCTATTGTTCAGTCTCCTCAAAGAAAACTTTTGAAAGAGATGCTCCTACTAGCAACTTTCTGGTACATAGGAACTGAGTAAATAGATTTTACTGATTTCAAATAACAAACTAAAAATTGTTCATCCATGTCTCTGTTCTCAACTCTTCCATCTGAAATGGAACCTTTTACTATCAATCCCAAGCAAACAAAGCCAATTCACATGATTTACCTTAATTTTGTATTGACTTAAATCAAAGCTTTGGGATTCATTATTTGAATATTCTGCGCAGAAAACTGTGACTGGTGAAAAATATTTATGTGATAAGATATGGTCTCATTCGATTGAACTGTTCACATATTCAAATAACCAAACACTTTTTAGAACAGTTCTTCCCCCTTTTTATGCCATGTAGGTTGCATCTCCCTTATGTCACCTATGTTTGGTATAAAATGTCTTTCTTAGAATCTGAACCTAAGGTAGCACTTGGGGGAGGAGAGATAGAGAAAACTGTTTTAGAAGTAACTGACATAGTGCTGAAAATAATACAAAGTCTATCTGAGGATAAATGTGAGAGGGGGAGTTAACAGTCATTACTGTAATGTGGCATTTCAACAAAAGAAAAGTTGTGCCTTTTGAAGGTTTGGTGTTTATAAGTCCTAATTTTTTTTTTAGAAAAATTGACTGTGCTTGCTTTCTTTTTTGAATTCTCTCCGTTTTTTCCTTGCTTTTTTTACACATATCCCAAATTAGAAGTTGGATTAACTAAGTCACTTTATTTTTCTAGTCATGTTCCTTCTTCCAGAAAAGCCTCCCATTTGATCTTCCTGTCTACCCAAATGACTACAAAACCAAAAAAAGTAAATCCGAAGTAACTATGTCCAAAAGGAACTTAATCTGCAAAAGCCCCAAGAATTACATAGCTCAGGAAATATAAATACACAACCTGCATAATTTCTTAGGCCATGTTAAAAAGTGCTTTTTTTAAAGAGAAATAAGTTAGTAAAAAAAAAAAAGCACTTTTTAACATAGCCTAAGAAATTAATTTTCCTTTATATGAAAGCTGAAAACCAGGAATCCAAGATCAGTCTTGATATGAAATATGTGTTTTAGCCAAATGAATAAACTAATTTCCCAGAGAGTTAAAGATCACAGCCTGACAAGGTATCTTGTATTATTTTCATTCTTTATTTCTGGTGTCCTTTACTTGCCTTCAACTAACCCAGACCCGAAACATAGCAGGGAAAGAATACATCTGTTAGGTGTTAATGCTTATGACCACATGTAGCTGACCCCCATCAGTTCCTTATTCTGATTAACACTGATTATTTCAAAACAATTTGCATACACACGCGCACATGTGCACACACATGCACACACACACACGCGTGCACGCGCACACACCAAAACCCATACACACTGGAGAAAACAAGCATGCAGTAGTTTTTTTTTATAACTGACTTTTAGAAGGTGTTTAAACCCTTAAAGGTATCTAAAGGCAAATGATTTTGTTTAAATATTTCCATAAGGCCCTCCCGTTGATCGTCGATTTGCTCGAGCGGACCCAGTAACGTCTCCATTGGAGACTTTGTTGTTACTGTGTTTGGCATATCGAATACGTCACAGGGAGCTTGCCAGGCTCTGCCGTGCGGGCGAGATACTCTCGGTAGCTTGCCGGGCTCTCCGAGAGGGGCGGAGGAATTGAACTCGGGTCGGCCGTGTTGGCCGCTTGTAAGGCGAACGTCCTACCGCTGTGCTATGTCACTTATTCGTGAGCAAGGTCATTTGAGCTTTGTATGTAATATTATCAAGACACTTTTGGGGATAGGGAAGTGGCTTAGTAATAGAGCAGTTGCCTTGCAATGTGTGATGCCTTGGGTTCAATCCTGGGCTTCACGTGTTGTGTTCAACACACACACACACACACACACACACACACACACACACACACCACATTCACTCACTCACTACTGGGTACGTCCCTGAGAAAAGTTCTGAAGTCCAGGTGACTTCATGACTCTCATCAAACTACAAATAGGCTCAGGCTCAGAAAAGGAACAAAATAATACATCACCTTAGTAAGACAAAGTAAGACTCTACATGTTCTGTCCTTTATAAAGGCCCATTTTACATCCACTTGCTTGATAATGAAATTAAATTTCTCCATCCTCTCCTAAATATTTATAGAAATTGCTGATCCCTATTCTTTTTAAATCCAAAAACAGAACTGAAAGCTGGGCTATTTTCTCAGATTAAATCAGACACATCACAGCTATATCAGGCCCCAGGATTCTACCATTCTTGACTGCAAACACCAATGTGGTAAGCCAGCAACTCAGACATGGGCGCTGAGACTGAAGGAAAAGTGAAGTATGATGCAAACTAAGTTATCGGAAATGTTTCTTAAAAATTGGTAGACACATGTGCTCTGGACTATGAAATCAAGAATTGGGATAGAAATACCCAAGACCAGATAGTATGTGTCGATAGTCTATTACCAGATTGACAACTAGAATTCTACACCTGGGATAAGCATAATTCAAAATTATGCTTTCTACAGTTTTGGCAGTCACAAGTTTGAAATACATAATTTGAAATGTTTACTTTCACAAAGTGAGGCTTTAAAAAAATTAAAAGAAGTAATAAGTTCTCCTTTGCTTTCCAAAAATAAAACTTATATAACTAGACTTACAACGTATATCCTTGCCATGTCCAAGTCACTGTGTCCTACAACAAAAGCATTGTAACTGTTAATCCGAGGAAAAACACCAACTGAAACAACAATTTTATTAAAATATTGATATTAACTTACTTTTTTGTGAATAAGAGGTAACATGTTAAAATAAGCAGGTTAAAATAACCTATCCATGAGCTCTTGAAGCTCCCCAGCCAAAGAGGTCTGCTTGCTTTGCAATAATCTATCTTTTGTACAGAACCAGTAATTCTTAATTTTGTTCTGGTGGGATCTGCAGATGGACCCAAAGCTTCAAAGAAACAAGGGCCCTCCCACTGAGCAGACAGCACTCTGCATTCTGACCTTTTTATTAGTATATTTATTTTTGGCTTGGAGTCATACTCAACAGTACTTGGGGGCTACTCTTAACTCTGCACTTAGGGGTTACTTCTGGTGACACTCAGAAAAACAAGTAAATCAAACCAGAGATCAAACCAAGTTGGCTGCATGCAAGATAAGCACCTTAACCCCTGCACTATCTCTCTGCACCCTCTTGTTCCAAATTTTTAAAGAGCTATAATACAGTTTTTTACTCTTAATATAAATGTAACAGAGTAATGTCCCTACAAAACCCAATGAACATTAGCTCTCAAATTATGTAGTGAAAAAGATAAAAGTTAGATTTTTTTCTTAATGCAAGATGTCCAAAGATGAGAAACCATCTACTGAAAAGAAAGTAGACTAGATCATAACTCTTAATTGTACATAACAATTAATAATTATATCTTGCCTTTTAATGTGAATTTTCTGGTAAAAGATGTTCCATTTAGGACCAAAATATCTCTCCAAAAACCTTATTTCAGGAAAAACAGTGTCTCAATAAGTATGCAGAAGACCACAATGAATTTTGTGGAACAGAAGAGACAATTTCCTGGGCAAAGGTGACCATTCTATAGGATAAAAGTCTTTTCAAATATCTTTTTAAGTTAATTATCAAAAGTCTCACAATTAATAATAACTGAGCATGTCATTTAGCATCGCTGCTATCCCCAATTTGTCATCGTGTCATCTTGCTACTTCAATTCCTTTCCACCAAAGATGACCACTGATTTTGAAAAACTTTCCTTCTAGGCTTAATGCAAATCAGAAACTTAGCCAGTTTAGGAGATGGCATCTAGAATCATATACCATTCTAATGACGATGGAGAGGAAACTGAAAAATAACTTACAGAAGCTTCATAATAGCAAAAGCAACATGAAATAAATAACAGAACTGTCAAATCTGTGCCTGCCTTGCAAGCTTTTAAAAACTAAATATTGCAAGTTTAATCATCAACTCCCACCATATATGTATTCCTAACATTGATTTTATTATAAAAAGGGATCTGAGAGAATGTATGCTACTTGAAATAGTTGAGATTCTTCTTCTAATAAAAGAAATACCATGCTTACCAGCTTATTTGGGTATCTGAGAAGGATGGGCTGTACCGGAACTCCTGGAATGAAGGCTCCTGAAACCACATCAAAATCATGTATGACTTCAGGTAAACACAATTCTTATAATAAAATAATTAGTAATAAATGGTATAGTCATATTAAATGCCTTAGAATACACATGAAAGAAGCTATTTGCAAAAAAAGACCAAAAAAACCTTTTTGCTAAAAGTTAGTAAATCTTAAGCAGTTGATATCATTTAAAATTGATATCATTTTAAAATTCAAAATTAAGTAAGCAGAGTGATGTGGTAGCTTTCACTTAAATAATATACTCATTTTTTCATTTGTTTTCATTTTCCAAATACCTAATTCAACAGGATTTTGAAAAACATTAAGATCAATATGAAAGAAATATCTACTGAAACCAAATGTATGAAGCAAGAACAAGCACACTTGCAAGAAGTGAGTTCTGAGTTTGGCTCTGAACAGTATAGCAGGCAAGATCAAATATTTTAAAGTTTTAGCAATCAGTATATAATGTACAACCTCATATTTTTTTAGAGAGTGACCATGACGTCAAAGATAGAGTCTTCAAAAATAGAATCATGGTCATTGACACAGGTTTTCTACTTGATGAGCCCAGGATCTCTGTGCTCTGGGTTCCAACACACACACACACACACACACACACACACACACAAATACACACATGCACACCCTCTCTCACATATGCTCACAATACTATCACATGCTCATACATACACACACTTAAACCTCTACACATAAAATACTTTACTCCAAGGAAGAAAGGGTATGACTCGGAAGGAAAGGAGTGAATCTATGGATTCACAACCTTAAACACATTTTATTGGAAAAGAAAGTAACGCTCAGTACAAACCTAAGAGGTATTTTGCGTATTAATGTCAAAAAATTTGAGAGCACTTCCATACGACTTTGCAACAATGCATAATTTAATTTGTCTTACCTGGTTTAAAAGTAATCAAACAGGAACGATTAGTACAAGTACCTTCTGGGAAAACTAGTATCTTGGGAGAAAAGAAATAGATTAAAATTTCAGTCTAACTAATAGATGACCTCTTTACTCACTTTCTTATGACTTCTCATTTAGTTCCCAATTATTAAAGGTAAGGTAAAGGCCCTCCCGTTGATCATCGATTTGCTCGAGCGGGCCCAGTAACGTCTCCATTGGAGACTTTGTTGTTACTGTGTCTGGCATATCGCCTACAAGTGGCCAACATGGCCAACCCGAGTTCGATTCCTCTGCCCCTCTCGGAGAGCCCGGCAAGCTACCGAGAGTATTCGATATGCCAGACACAGTATTCCCAATTATTAAAAAATAAAAATAAAATAAAAAGCCGATAATTGATTCTAACGAAAGCTAGAAATAGATTACCTAATTTTACTCTAAAAGTGTAGTCTGATCACTAAAATAGATAATGGATTAAAGCTTTGACTAGAGAATATACTTTACAAATGTTTCTTAATAATTATTATAAGGATAAAAATAAACATAAAAGATAGATCTGAAATCATGCTCTAAGCGCATATTAGATAATATTGAAGTATTTTTTCTACTTCTATATAGAGATCCTTTCTTGTTTGTTTCTGTTTTTCTATCAATGGTTTTCATTTCTATGACATACAATAGAAACATACTGAGGAAATAGAAGAAATACTTATAATATGCATCATATGTACTTGAACTAGTTATATCTGAAGTACCACTTACTATATTTTTAGTTTTGGCATACTTCTTTATGCATTCCACATTAAAAAATATGCACTACATGTATTTTCCCCATTAACCAAATAAAAATTAGCAGCTTGATTTTTTATTTGAAGTTTCTATAATTTAGCAATGTATACATTGCTAAATACCTAAAATTAAAATTGACAATTTCTACCTTCAAAATAGCCAGTGATGTGGGGCTGGAGCGATAGTACAGCAGGGTGTTTGCCTTACATGAGGCTGACCCGGGTTCTATCCCTGGCATCCCATATGGTCCTCAGCACTGCCAGGAGCAATTCCTGAATGCAGAGCCAGGAGTAACCCCTGAGCATTGCTGGGTGTAATCCAAAATAATAATAAAAATAATAATAAAGCAAAAAATAGCCAATGATGTGCATTTTATAAGAAAATGAAAATATTACCAGGCTGGTCAGAAACAATTACCCTTTACTTCTAAAGTAAAAATTATGAACAGGTAAAATTCTACCCTCCAACAAAAAACAAAAAACAATGGGCTTCTTATGACAAAAGAATTCACTATTGAGTCTAATTCACTGTCACTGTCACTGTCACTGTGCTCCCGTTGTTCATCGATTTGCTTGAGCAGGCTCAGTAATGTCTCTACTGTGACAATTGTTACTGTGTTTGGCATATTGAATACGAGCAGAAATCCTACAGCTACACTATTCCCCATGAACCAACACAGAATAAATCATAACCTCTTGGGGCTGGCAGGGGCATGAAAAGTCATCTCCTATCTCTAATGAGGAATTCTTTCTACAATATCCCCCCCAAGTGGTTGACTCGTCAATGCCTGAAAATTCCAGGCAAGAATTCCAAAAGATACCCTTCTACCTCTGGAGAAAAAGCTACTGAGATGAACAAAATGAGCTGAACCAGATCTAACTGTTCACTTTCACCTACAAGCACTATATAAATTCCTTGGAACCAAGAGAAAAATCAACCCTTTATTCCCAATATTTGATCTTCTAAGGTTTTTTCTTTTCTTTTTAAACATCATTCTCACATGCCTTGATTGCTAAGAGTGACTAGTTGGTCAACAACCCTTGGCATTTTATTTATTTTTGTTTCATGGTTACACCCAGTGGTACTCAGCGCTTACTCCTAGCTCTCAGCTCGATCATTTCTGGCAAGCTTGGGGAACCATGTGCAGTGCCAGGGATTGAACCCAGGGTCAGATGAATGTGAAAACAGAGCTCTGGCAGACTCTCTCCAGCCCTCCTTTCCCTTTAGAAAGGAAATCTAGGCTGCAGCAATTGTTCAGTGGGTAGGATGTTTGTCCTTGTACATGGCAGACCCAGGTTTGATGCCAGGTTTGATGGTCCCCTGAGCCCACCAGAAGTGATCCCTGAGTGTAGAATCAGGAGTAATCCCTGAGCACAGCTGGGTGTGGTCCAAAAACAAATAGGAAAAAAAAGAACAAATAAAAAAAAAACAAGAAAAGGAAATCCAGAGGAAGTGGTTGGTGGAGGGACAACTGTTTCTTGAAGGAGCTCGATAGATAAACTCTCATATACTTATTCCATGAAAATCCCTGCCTGATTCTCCTCACTAAAGGTTAAAGATCTCAACCACTTTTTTCCTTAAACCCACCATATGGTTGACATAACTGAGTTTCAGGGCCTCATCCTTAAAGCAGTCAATAAATTCAGAGGCAAGGAATGGTTTTACCTGACATGAAGCAAAAACTGCTTTGAATAATTTGGAGATGTCAGAGAGAATGACAGAGCCAGAACGGGGTCTGTCGAGCATGCAGTTTGCATGTGTGAGGCCCTGAATTCAATCCTCAGCACTCTGTAACCTCCCCAGTCCTCCCCCCAAAAACAGCACCCAAAGTGGTATTTGCTGACTCCTGAGAACTATGGCAGCCCCAAAACAATGTAAGAAAATTTTTTAATGAATGACATATTTAAGTCCAAGAAGTAGCTCATGAGGAAGAAGACATCTTTAAATTCATTCATTTCTTCTGCTTCCATTAAGCAAAAGCCATCTATCATGGGTGTCCTCAGATTTTGCTGAGATGCCAACAACAAGTTTAGAAGGTACAAAAATTAACTCTCAATACATTTCAATAAACACCTGCATATTACCTGGGGCCATTCCCCTCCTGATGTGGCTCGCTTAATTATTTCATTTATCGTGTTTTTTCGTGAATCTGGATCTATCCGGGACACCAACACTGGCTGAATAGCCTGCAACAATCCTTTAGAACAAACAAAAGAGTTATAACCAAGTCATCATATTGGCCAAAGCAACCGACAGATGACAATGGATAAATTACAGAACAAATTCTCTAGAAAAATTGAGATGAAAGTCATTTTTTGAAAAGCCTCCAATTCAGAGCTTATTAGAACTTGGCTCCCAGTGATGTTCCAAAAAGAGTAGTGCATATTTATTTACACCTAAAAAATAATCACCACTTTAACAGAAGTCAGCAGCAAGAATATGAAAAGACATAATGTGGGGCTGGAGTGAGCACAGCGGGTAGGGCATTTGCCTTGCATGCAGCCAACCCAGGTTCGATTCCCAGAATCCCATATGGTCCCCTGAGCACCGCCAGGAGTAATTTCTGAGTGCAGAGCCAGGAGTAACCCTTGTGCATTGCTGGGTGTTACCAAAAAAAAAAAAATAGACAAGACATAGTGTGTAACCCAAGTGTGCAGGCACCAGAACTAACAGTGCAAGCAGCAAATCCTGGGTGTGTGTGTGTGTGTGTGTGTGTGTGTGTGTGTGGATGTGGATGTGACTTGTAACACCTGGTCATTATGACAACAAACAACAATGCAATTTTCTCTTTCATGGCATTCTCCCTCAGTTGACAATGAGTCTACGGCCATACCACCCTGAATGCGCCCGATCTCGTCTGATCTCGGAAGCTAAGCAGGGTCGGGCCTGGTTAGTACTTAGTACTTGGATGGGAGACAATGAACTCTGGGAAAAGACTGCAAGGCTATCTTGTTTTATTTTAAGAATATCCTGAAAATGAATCGTGAATTCTGATTAAAGGGCAATTATTATAATTATAATTTACTAAAACTCCATTGTGATGCATTTAAAAAATTTTTAGGCAAATTCTTTCTTAAACAAATCAGGGGTGTCAAAAAAAAAAGAGTCTTTCATAGCCGAATAATAAAGTTGCAAAGATCCTCTTATTTCTCCCATGTCCCCAGGCGATCAGACGACGCTCATGCCCTCTCTGTCACTGCTCATACTGGCAATAACCTGGGACATTGGAGACCAGTTACTTAGAAACTAATCCCCTAGGGAGAGACCAAAGCACCGGGTGGGAAAAAACATTTCACTTGCTTCATTATTTTTTATGGCAGGAAGCACTTACTGTTCCACATCATCATTTTCAAAGAGTTACACATTGTTCCCTTGTGGAGATTCTCGGGTAATAATGAAGAAAACCAAGTTAGGAGAAAAAAGACTTAGTGTGTTTATCAACCCTAAGATCCCAGAGAGACATTTCTGAAATAGTATGGATCGGATGTTTTTCATGAATTCTCTAGTTAGATCCTCTCTTGCTTAGACAAACCAACAAACAAAAATCAACCATGCATGGTATTAAAAGCTTGTCTCTCCAGCTCTGTATAAGAAAAGAAACACTACTTGAAAAGATACATGTACCACTGGATTCTTTCAAGCATTATCCACAATAATCCAGGTATGAAACAACCAAAGTAGCCGGTGAATGCCCAAGGAACTGGCAGGTACCACCTGGTACTTTGCCAGTGACACATGATAAATGTATACCGTCTGGACATTTACACAATGACAATTTCCTAGTAACACTATTCTCAGAATGGATCCTTACAGTTAAACAATGAAAGACTCTACTCTGTATGTGTGTGTGAGTGTGTGTGTGTGAGTGTGTGTTGTGTGCACGCATGCATGTGTGCATGCATACATACACGCATGTCCATAAGCACACAAAGATACATTTGGGCATAGAAAATGATGAAATCTTGTCATCTGTGAAAAGATAAATGGGCTTGAAAGGAATAAAAGAAAGTGAAATAAGTCAGGAAAAAATACTATAGAATTTCACTTATTGCAAAATTCTAAAAAAAAATCTCTAAAACACATAAAAGTGAAACTTATAAAGAGAAGAGAATGGTGGTTACAAAAGGGAAGAATAAAATGGGGGTAAAGAGCAAGAAGGAATATCCCAGAAGTACATTTTACATGCTGACAGATGCTAATTAAAATGACTCCAAGCATTTCATAATTAGTACAAGTATCAAATCATTAAGTGGTACATTCGAAATAAATATAATCATATATGTTACCTATTACTTTATTTCTAAATATATACACACATATACATACATAAATATATATAAACAAAACTTGGGGGCCAGGTAGTACAGGGATTAAAGTGCTTGCCTTGCATACAGTTGATCCTGGTTTGAACCCCATACTCCAAATAATACCTGAACACTGCTGTGTGTGGTGCAAAAACAAATCTACAGATAAACAAGCCAAAAACGGTGATAGTATAGAGCTGAAGCCTTAATACAGTGGGTAAGGAGCTTGTTTTGCATGTGGCCAACCCAGGATTAATCCCCAAAATCACATTTGTCCCAAATGGTTCCCCAAGACCTGCCAGAAGTAATTCCTGAGTGCAGAGCCAGGAGTAACCCCCAAGCATTGCTGGGTGGGGCCCAGAACAAAACAAAACAATAGAAAGTAGTAATAGTACAGTGTTAAAATATGATTTTTAAGAATTATAAAGGGTGACCACCAAGATAGTACAGTGGGTAAGATACATGCCTTGTACACAGTTAACCTGGGTTCAATCCCTGGCACCCCATATGGTACCCCAAGCACCAACAGGAATGATTCCTGAGTGCAGAGCCAGGAGTGAGCCATGAGCACTGAGAGGTATGCCCCAAAGATCAACAAAAAGTTTAAGTTTCATTTAAAAAATAACAAATATTAAGGCAACAGAAAGAGAGAATAATTATTTTCCCAAATTCATTTTTTGATATAGTACCTCGCTGAAGGAAGGAAAGCATGAAGCACTCTGTTAATTTTAAAACTATTAAAATATCTACTAATAAGGGAGCTGGAGTCACAGTGGGTAAGATACATGCCTTGTACACAGTTAACCTGGGTTCAATCCCTGGCACCCCATATGGTACCCCAAGCACCAACAGGAATGATTCCTGAGTGCAGAGCCAGGAGTGAGCCATGAGCACTGATGGGTATGCCCCAAACATCAACAAAAAGTTTAAGTTTCATTTAAAAAATAACAAATTATAAGGCAACAGAAAGGGAGAATAATTATTTTCCCAAATTCATTTTTTGATATAGCAGGTAGGTCATTCACCCTGCAAAAGACTGACCAGGGTTTGTTCAATCCTTGGCATCCCATACAGTCCCAAAACCCATCAGAAGAGATTCCTGAGTGCAGAGCCAGGAGTAAGCCCTGAATATCACCAGGTGTGGACCCCAAACAAATAATAAAATAAAAATTTAAAAATTATTTTTAAAAAAGTCTACCTATAAGCTATATATGACACTTCCCACTTAAAGCAGGGGCATAAAAATCCTGCATGTGCTCTTAACAGTACTTACTGCCAATCAGAGGCACCTGCATGTTCTCACTTCGAGTCACCATGGAAGGCAGCCCAGCTACCACACAAGCGATTCCGTCAAAGAATGTCGAATGAGGAGCCACGACAAAAATTGGTGCTTCCGCGGCGCTGGCCATCTTGCCTTTCACGGACACCATGAACCCCATGACAAAGAACAAGGCGTGAGCCAGAAACTTCAGAACAGGCAGGGTCACTGTCCTTTGGAAAGAAGCATTGCAAAGAGAGAATTAGCCTTGCTAAGTGCTAACAGGAAGGCTCTACCCTAAAACACATCGCAAGACCCAAACATGTTTGAACGCTGAATTGAAAAATATGAGCTAAGAAGAACAGCTTTTAGCTGTGTGGAGCTTTTTAGCTGTGTGGAGCTTTTCTGTCAGGCACAATATACATGATATATATATATATGTATATATATACATATATATATAGCCCAGGACCCATGCTGGTATTAACAGGGGTTACTTACTTTCATCTCTGTTTTATAGATTTAAACACTTCTTAAACATAGGGGCCACACCCAGTTGTGCTCCAGGGCTGGGGCCACTCCTAGCCATGATCAGCCTATTAGTGCAACACTTGGAAGCCATCAGGGCCACACTGGCAGTTTGGGGGGTACATGAGGGATATACTGATTGGTGTGGGGCAGGGATGGAGGGCTGAGGACCACCCAGGATCAGCGGGAACAGACTTCGAGCCTGACAGATATTAGGTAAGTAACTACTCTACCACTTAGCTCTCTCTACAGCCCTACATGATTTCTTGATTCAGACTATTCATCCAACATGTTTTGTTTCTCATTTGATTGCCATGGTTAATAGAAAACTGAAAGGAATAGATGAATCATGAGAAACATCCCCTGTGGCTTTTTTTTTTTAACAACAGACAAAAACTTGAGGTCTAAAATCAAAGAGGAGGATTTGTAAAGACTGCGGTGTTGTTAGTTTCACTTCACACCAACCTGTACTCAATACTGATATTTGCTCATTCATTGTAACAGAGGTCCCCAAACTTATCTGGCCTACTGCCTGCCTCCTTTCTTGAGAAAAGATAATGAACAAAAACACTCTGTGTGTGGCCCCCAACCCCTTGGAAATCTACCTTCTTTAAGAGAACAGACATAAAACACCACCATCTGCACCCAAGGCTACAATGGCCCCCTGGATCATTTCCATGGCCCCCAGAGGATGGTACCCACCACTTCAGGAAACACTGCATCTATACATGAAGTCAGCAGAAAATTTTGTATTTCTTAGTTTCTAGAATGGTATTTCCCAAAAAGTTTTGGAGTATGAGCTGGATGTAAGGAATAGCCCTATGTGCTCATTACAGTGCCCTGACATCCTTCTCCAGATTTCTGCAGAATCCATACAAGAATCTTCGCTTTCAGGACAGACAGATTATAAATCAGCTCTTCCCAACAGGAACAGACTTTTACCAACAACATTAACTCATGGCTAGCTTCTTCCTTCATGCTAATTAGGTTGAGAAACAATTCCATTCTGCTTCAATACTGGTGATTCCTAAAACTAGGATTTATAAAAAAATTGCTATTAGTAATAATGACAACATAACTGTTCCACTTATTATATCACTGCTTAAAATATATAGTTACTATTGGAGGACAACAGCAAATGTGAAAAATGAGGAAGAGCAAAAAGAAAGTCAGGAGTTTTTCAGTGCCAATGTTTTAGGCATACTAATTTGGTATTTCAGAACCTGGAACCAATCACTTTTTGCCGGTAACTCGGAAAATAAAATATTTTGCTATCAGAAAATTAAACTTTGGAAGGTGGGTATTGGGTGGTGCTCAGGAGGGACCCCTAGTGGTACTCAGAGCCCATATGAGTACAAGAGCTCAAACCCAGGTCAGCAGCATGCAGGGCAAGTATATGGTCTCCTGGACTCTCTTTCTTTCACCTTCTGGACCAGAAAATTACAACCTTAACAGGAAATTCAAAATTTCTGGAGCAGTCATTTCTACATTTGATAAATTAAGAATTTCATCTGAGAAACAAAAATAAATTATTAAAGTTAAGTAGAGAGTAGTCAGAGAAAACTTGTTCACTGACTAAACCATAATAAACTCCTCCTCTTCATCTTGATTTGCCTAGTGCTTAAGTATAATTATTTCTTACCTCCTCCAACCAGTTAGCGGGTGGGTCAGCTTTTCAGGACAACATGCTGTGGGGATTGCAGCAAAGGGCCATGCCAGCACTAGAATGAATGCAATCAAGAAGGCACGAATTGGAAGCAGGATAATTCCAAGAAAGAAAATCTGGAAATCAAAGTTGATAAAAATGGATGCATGGACATTTTATTTTAATGCTGTAGTTATAGACACATGGAAGAGGAAAATTTTACGCTATTCATGCATGAACCCAAGGAAGAAATGAACACAAGACCCTGTCAGAAAAGGATCTAAGCACAAAAAAAAAAAAAAAGACTTGGCTGATATCACAAAGCTCCTTATTGACATGAAGATACCAGCCCTGCAATTGTGTTAATTAAGCCACATTCAAGTGTGGGCTATTGTTGGGGTCATTGGCATCAACATGCTAAGCAAAGAAAACCAGTACTAGAAGGCAACTTTAGCTGCATATCTGAAAACAGATCGAGCATGCTGGCAGAACAAAGAACGTGCATTCAACTTGGCCATTAGAAAAGCTTCCTGGAAGAGCTGAAGCCTAAAAAGTCTTAAAAGATCAGCAGAAAGTAGCAAGGTAAGACGGAGAATTTTCCCTTTGAGAACCATAAGTAAGAGCATTAGTTAAGGCATTCGAGCATGAAGACCAACGTGCATTAATTTTATAGACTGACTAGGCACTTGGAATGAAGGAATTTTTTTAAAAAAAGATTTATTTATGTTATTGATTTCCCATTTAATTTATTACAGTGAGGGAACGACTCAACAGTATTTCAATCTTTGGAAAATTTTTCGAAGCTTTTTATAGTCCAGCATTTGCTTTACTATTACCATCTTGATGCCAGGGATTGAATTTAAGATTTCCTTCCTACATGCAAGGCAGGCACCTGACCACTGAGCTACATGCCCCTATAATCTGATTTATTGAGTAAGAGGGAAATTGTCTGCCATAGAGGCAGGGAGAGGGGTGGGATCGGGTGGGGGGAGAGATACTGGAGACACTGGTGGTGGAAAATATGCACTGATGGAGGAATGGGTGTCCTATCATTGTATGACTGAAACTCCGACATGAAAGTTTTGTAACTGTAGCTCACAGTGATTCAATAAAAAAAAAAATAAGAAGAAAGAAAAAGAAAAATCATCTGCTCTTGGTTTTTTGTTTGTTTGTTTGGGGGCCACACCTGGCAATGCTCAGGTCATATTCCTGGCTCTGCACTCAGGAATAACGCCTGGTGGTGCTTGGGGGACCATATGGGATGCCAGGGATCAAACCTGGGCCGGTCACGTGCAAAGGCCTTATCCACTGTACTATCTCTCCAACCCCACATTTGTTCTATTTTTGGTTAAGTATTCTCCTCTTCTTAGAAAGAATGCTGCAGTTATGGAGGAAAATGCAAACCTGGATATATTTAGTCCAGTGGGCTTATCAGTTCTGAGAACAGTATATTAGTAGCTCCTATTAAGTTTCCACTCTTTCTTTAGCCCTCTCAATTTTACCTTTATGTCTTCTGAAATTAAATGAACTAAGGGCTGCTAAGTTTCCTAATGAACCGACCCTTTTGTTTTTTCACAAATAGCCTCTCTTTATATCAGGTATTATAATTCCTGGAAGTTTATTTTTCTGATATTAATATGGTCACATAAACTTTTTATTCTTTTTGATGGCGGGGGGGGGTCACACCCAGAGATACTCAGGGATTACTCCTGGCTCATACACTCAGGAATTACTCCTGGCGGTGCTCGGGGGACCATATGGGATGCTAATAATTGAACCTGGGTTGACCACGTCCAAGGCAAACTCCCTACCTGCTGTGCTATCACTCCAGCCCCTAAAATTTTTCATACTACATTCATGGCACATTTTTTTCCACTTGTATATTTATTGTTTCCCCCATTTTTATTTAGGCCTCATGTATTTATCTTTGACATGCATGTGGTACAGATAATCTATAACAAAATTTGTTATTCTGCTCAATCTGAAAACATCTGCTGTAAAACTAGAATGGTTAGTTCCTTTTAACATGCTGCAATTCTAATGATATATTTGGGTATAAGTCTATTATTGGTTTACTATTTCTTTTCTATATAGTTCATTCACTTTTTTCTCTTTGTTTTCTTTGGGTCCATTAATCTATTTTTTAAGTATTCCTTTAAATTCTTCTCTGGCTCCTTGCCATACATTTTTGTAATTTTAGTGAGCATTTCCTCTGAAAATTACCAGGAGTTTACTTAACACATCAAAATCTACCGAAAATTAACACTGTGCCATGCCATATAAAGTGTTAGAAATATGGTACAACTCCATATCCCCCATTCTTTTAGTATTTCCATCATGCTTTTTTACACCAACCCAGGTTTAAACCTCAGAAGTTAATGTTATTATTTGTGTATTAAATGATAACTTTTGGCTGGAGGGATAGCACAGTGGGTAAGGCATTTGCCTTTCACACGACTGACCCGGGTTCGATTCCCAGCATCCTATATGGTCCCCCAAGCATCGCCAAGAGTAATTCCTGAGTGCAGAGCCAGGAGTAACCCCTGAGTATTGCCGGGTGTGACCCCAAAAGAAAAATAAATAAATAAAATAACATTTTAGCTCTTTGACAAAAAAAAAGGTTATTTCCCTCCATATCTGAATTCTAATGTTCTCCACTTCCTCCTATACATTTGTGTCTGAATCTTGCATCATTTTCTTACAGTCTAAAGAACTTCCTTTAGCATTTCTTACATGCAGTCCTGAGAAACAAATTCCTTCTTCTCCCATTTAGCTGAGGATGTCTTCATTTCCTTCCTTTCTGAAGAGTATTTTCTTTGAATAGAGAATTCTGTATTGACAGTTGGAATGTCTAGAATGTTGGTGAACTTGGAGAGTTCACTATATATTTTTGTACACTATACCTGTATCCTGAACAATCGGTTTGGGGCTCTTCGTGTTCCTAGAACGAACAGACGCCATTGGGCTACACTAGCATGTGACAAGGACAAATGGAGACTTTACTGGCGCCCGCTCAAGCAAATCCATGATTAACGGGAAGTCAAGTGATCAAGTGATCAAGTGATACCTATATCAGACACACAACTTACATTCTTTCCTTCTATTGGTTGGATTTTCAATCTCTTGTACTTTGAAACACAAGGGTTTTCAGTTTGATGAAGTCTTAGCTATTTATCTGGCTGCTTGTGTTAATGACTTTCCAAGGGCCTAGTGCCTATAACCCAAATCATAAATATTTACAGCTGTGTTCTTTTGTAAGCATTTTAACCATTACATTTAGGGCTATGATCCATTCATTAATTTTTGTGTATGAGATGTGACACAAGGAACCTTCTCTTGCCCTCACTTCAATTCTAGGAGCGCATGTTGAAAACACAAGTCTTTCCTCCACAGTATTGTCTTGGTAACATTGTCAAAATTCATGTATTACTTCCAGATACTTTAAGTTTGATTAAGTTTGACTGAGTTATATATCTATTTTTATACCTATACAAAAGTCCTAATTATTGTAGTTATTTATAATAAGTTCTGAAGTTGAGAAATATGAATCCCTCAATCTTGTGTTTCTCAACATTCTTTTGCTATTTGGTATCCCTCATGTTTCCACATGATTTTAGAGTCAGCTTGCTAATCTCTCTCTTTCACACTTGTTAATTAAAAACTGGGGAGATGGTTGCAAAAACATCATCTGAGAATTTGAAAAGAGTCACACTAAACCTGTAGAACAGTTTGCAGAATGAGGCCATTTTAATAGTATCTCCCAATACAAGAACATGGAATGTCTTTCCAATTAATTTAGGTCTTCTTTACATTTTATCGATGATGTTTTGAAGCTTTATATTCAAATCTTGTGTTTCTTTTGTTAAATTTGTTCCAATGTGCTTTTTTTCTTTCTTATGCTCTTGTCAACTGAAATTCTTTTCATTTAATTTTCATACTGTTCACTATTTATGAAAAGAAACACAAGTGATTTGTCTATATTGTTCTTATATTCTGTAACCCTGTTAGACTTGTTAACTAACGTTTTTGTCAGGTCTGCCTGATTTTCTTTATTTAAAATATCAGGACATTTGATAATAATTTTATTCCTTCCATTTTAATGCAGAAGACTTTTTCTTGCCTAATTCTCTTGCTGTAACCTCCAGTACAATGTTAAAAGGAAGTAGTGAGTGAACTTTCTTGTTTGGTTCTTTTTTTTTCTTTTTTTTGGGTCACACCTGGCGATGCACAGGGGTTACTCCTGGCTCTGCACTCAGGAATTACTCCTGGCGGTGCTCGGGGAACCGTATGAGATGCTGGGAATCAAACCTGAGTTAGCTGCATGCAAGGCAAACACCTTACCCATTGTGTTAACGCTGCACTCCTCTTGTTTGGTTCTTTATCTTAGGGAGAACGCTTTCTCTTCTACTATTATCTACTTTCTTCTTTTTCATAGATGCCCTTTATCAGATTGCACAAGTTCCTTTATTCCGATGTTCTTAAGTGGTTTTATTTTTAGTCACGAAAGTATACTTTTTCTGTCTATTGAGATGATCATGTATTTTAATGACTGTGGATAATTTTATGCATACATATTTTTATAATTTTTGTTATTGTGCTATATTCCATTTACCTTTTTCTATGCTGAACTAAAATTACATTCACGTAACAAATCCCATTTTGTAATGGTATAATAATTACCTTTTAATAATTTTTATGAGTCAGTAATTCCAATTTGTTAGCATTCTGTCAAGAATATTTGCACTTAAGATTCATTAGGAAGATTGATCCATAGCTTCTTTTTCTTTGACATACTTCTCTGGTTTCGGTATCATGGTAGTATTGGCTTCATAGAATGAATTCATAAAGTATGGGCACCAGTTCTTCGATCATTTCCTTTTTTTAAGGTAGAAAGCTATGTTATTGATTTCAGGTCTTTCACACTTGTTAATTAAAAACTGGGGATATGGGTTGGAAGATAACTCAGAGATCAGCAACACATGCCTTGCATCACAGGGCCCCAAGTTTGATCCTAGCATCACAGGGCCCCGTGAGCATCACTGGGCATGGCCCTGGAGCCCCCCCACCCCATGCCACTTGACCAAAGCAGCACTTTGGCCCGAGCATCTGGCCCAGCTAGTCAAACATCCCTGGGAGT